ACACACACACACACACACTCACACACAGAGGTCCTTCTCAGAATATTAGCACATTGTTATAAAGTTCATTATTTTCCATAATGTAATGATAAAAGTTGAACATTCATGTGTTTTATATTCTTTGCACACTACCTGAAACATTTCAGGTCTTTTATTGTCTTAATAGGGATGATTTTGGCATATTTTAAGAAGGACCTGTATAGTAAAGATCAGCTCAAATTGTGAGATTCTTTGGATGACTATGACAGTTACTTATATAAATGATACAGGATTTCACTGTCCGGACAGGCATATATGTCAGATCCTGTAACCGTGGCCCGGCTGGGTGAGAATACGGTCCTCACTGTATCACAGAGTGTATGTATGGCCATGAGATATTTATAAAATTATCTCTGTAAACAAACCTTGTGATCCCTTGACAAGAAAAGTGATGCAGAGTTTGCAGAATGCCATCTTTTCTAAACTATAAGCTGTATCCTGAAACACAGATGTCTAATTTGCCGCTCAACAATTTATATCGCTCTTTACAAATGTTCTCATCAGGTTTCTTCTTGGAGCCACGTCATGAAAGCAGCTGCACAAACTGTTCATACTGAAAATTCAAGCTTTTTTTTTTAAACCCTTAAGTTCTTCCTAAATAACATCTGAGTTTTGTAACAGTTCATCGCGCTTTCAGATTATAGGAAAATCAAAACATGAAAAACCAGTTGACCTGTGTATTTTACAAAAATAACATTTGCTAAACTTTTGTCTAAACTTATGTGATGTCAGAAAAGACCACAAAGCAGTACACTGTACACAAGGACATAGATTTATTTATACAAATATAGTATGTATCACAATTGCATATCAACACTTTGTTGTATTTTTGTGTCATCTTCATGATACACGACTATCATCCTTTTTAAGGTGTAAATCAATTATGAAAAACTGGTCTAAAGATACAAAAATTATTTTTAACTTCATATTGTTGGAGGGTTATTAAGGGACAGATGTGATTTAATTAAATATAAAAACCATCAAATGATGAAGCGTTTAGGTGCTTGGGGAATGCTTACCGTATGTAGCAGAGTGTTATTTATGAAGGCAGATCTGTGATCCATATTCTGCGGTTCATCTTAGAGGTTCACAAAGTCTCATTATGCTTTTAAATGTCCTAATATATTTAAGCGTTAATAGTTATTTTAACCATTGTTTTTTTTTTTTATGCTGGTGAAGATTCTCTGTCATCAAGGTCATAGTCATTAAAAAAAAAAATAAAAACAATCCACTGCACTTGTTTTCCAAGTATGCAGACGTTTTGCTTCCCATCCAAGAAGCTTTTT